TTCGAGGTGGAATCGGATTTCGGGCGGCAAGTTGTAGAGGAAGACGATGATTGGCCATGAGCTATATTTCCGGCGTTTAAAGGGCGCAAAGCCATCAAAAGAAATGCCCAACGCGATGTCGCGAATATCCGAGAAGAACTTGTGGGCCAGTTTCTTGCCGCGCAAGGTAACAAACCTGCATAAAAGAACTTGTGAGCCAGTTTCTTGCCGCGCAAAATAACAAACCTCTGCAACAACTCTTGATAATGTGTGCCGTCAAATACGTCCTTGACCTTGTCCGGCTCCGATTCGAATTCCGCGCGATATGTCTGGAGCACCTCGGAGTGCTCCTTGTTGGTGTAGAGTGCAACGAGTCGAGGTATAAGAGGAATATAATGATATTGGCGCCGCGGTTTGCTTTCACTGTCAAATCTAGCCTCATGGCAGAAGGGGCAACGCTGAAGTGTCGCATAATTTCCGGTGTAGCACATGCACGACTTGATGCAGCAGTCATATTTGACTGCTTTGACGCTGGAAAGGAATGCCATTCGCCTCTGTAGGACATAGAGCGAGGATAGGTTGGCGAGCTGAGGGAAGCTGAGTGAAAGCTTCTCGTAGGCGGTGTCCGTGATTTGTGTATCAGTCTTGTAATTGAATGCCCGAATATCGTTTAGGTCCTCTGCCGAAAGGGTATGCGCTGCAAATGGCATAAGTTCGTTGGGCCGTGAAAGAAAAAGAAAAAAAGACAGGCCACGCACCGGCGCGAGCTGCATCAGCCTCGAAGACATCTCTCAAGCGATCCCCCTGGCTCAATCCCTGCTGCCACGGCTCTTCTCCTTCGTCCCAATCCTCAGTTTCATTCGGATCTTCGTCCGATTCCCATCCACCATCTTGTTCATCCTCCCCCGCAAAAAAACCGTCATCCGACTCTGAATCTGAGTCAGAGAGCTCAGCCAAACCCGGAGGTTCATCCATGTCAACGTCCATTTCGTTATTCTCGAGCATGTCGATGTCGAAGTCTTGGTCCATCTCCACTGCTCCGGGGCTGCCGACAGGCTCTGAAAAGGCAGTGCGTGGCGCGATTTCCTGGTACTGGATGTACAGAGGTGCCCCTTTGGCAGCAAGATGTCGCTGCTCCGTAGCCTTTGTCTTTACTTCGCCGCATCCGCAGCCACAAGGAAAGGGCGCAATTGCTCGGGGCATGGAGTTGTCGTGAACAGGGTTGAAGATTTGGGAAACAGTTGCAATCGACAGTAATGTGAATGAAGTCAGAGTTAGTATGAGTGTATTTCGGCGCATAGCGCCTGTAGTCAAGTGAAGAGTCTCTGGACTTTGACGCGACGTGGATTGGTCGAATCACGTGGGCATGAAGTCATTTGCTCCACACTCAAACCTCCACCGCGATGGCTCCACACCTCGTCCCACTCGTTTCCTCCCACCGTCATCTTCTCTTCTTCTGCTTTTGTATACATCTATCTTCCCATGCCCCCTACCGCAAGCAACTCGTCCCGAGCCGGCCGTACACGGAACCCGTCAGCTGCGCAAAGGCAGACGAACAAAAACCGCGCCGACGCTGCTGCCAAGACCCGTGCAAACAAGGAGAAGGCACAGAAAGCTACTGCTAGGAAGGTGCAGCGTGGCAGCAATAATGCGCGAGCTGCCGCCCTTCGGGACGCGACCAATGCGGGTGAAGCGGAGCCGCTTTCGGCTGAGGAGCAGATTGCTGCCCTGACCGGTGCGTCCTGCTGCCTGTTTCTTCTATCGTTTGTTTATCATGGATTCTAAGCCCGTCTCGAGGCCGCTGAAGCGAAGAACGAGGCCCTTAACCGCAAGAACAAAAAGCTCAAGAAATCTGTGCACCCTCAAACAGCTTCGACCGACGCGGAAATTGTTCCCATCCCCAAGCCTAAGCGCAAATTCAATCTCCAAGAAGCTATGCAGCTCGAGGATAACCGCAAGCTCTTCACAGAGCTCCAGGTAAGATTAGCTCTCACCCTGGATTGGATCCTGACTTTGTCTAGGCTGGAGTCCATAGCGCCGCCCTTGAGGCAAAAATTGACTTCGAATCAAACTGGTCGCAGCAGGACCCGGGTACAGTCGCTAAAATATTTCGGGTGATGCGTGATATGGTCTTGCTCTATGATCTCCCATGACCACAGGACAGGCTGGGGAACGCCACGCGCACTTGAGCTCGAAACGGTACCCGCGGAACTGGGCGACCTCATCAATACTTCAACGCTACATCAACAGCGTCCGTGCTTATCGTTCGGGGAAAGCAAACCCTTCTAGTGGTGTGTCACGTCGGCGCCAGCGGGTTACGAAGGTCGGGAGACTGGAGGCAGAGGCTCCTCGTAGTATGTGCATCATGTTTCTGTCGTTGATGGTTCTGATTATTGCTTCGAGGCCGCCGAATTGATCCATCCCCTCCACCTGACGACGATGACAGAAGTGAGTCGTAACTCACTCGCCCTTCCGCGGATTGATTAAATGCTTTTCCAGTGGACGTTGACCATTCTGGTGAGAACGATGGCCCTGAGGATGGGCAAGATGGTGCGTCCACTCTCCATTCACCTGGTACCCACTGATTTAGCAGCGCTGTAGGGTCTCGGGCCGCATCGCCGTCGATGGACGAGGTCCCACACGTCCCCCGTGACGATTCCGACGATTCGGACCGCGAAAGCGATGCTCAAGGCGCTCAAGATAGCCAGGGCGATGCCGGTAGCAGCGGAGAGGACGAAGAATTAGAGGTCGCGGACGATTAATTGTAATTTTTTTTGAAATCCATGATGTTTTCTTGCGAATTCCTAGTGTTCTGTGAGGATTCGATGCCAGAATTCAGTGCCCCCAGTTTGTACGCTATATTCACGATGAAACATATTGCATTCACTCAAAAACATCGTGAAAAATACATCATGAATGTTCCTATATACCTCGGGAAATTCAAAACCCCCGTTCATGATGAATCATCATGAAAACCTATTGAACCATTGTGAAATTCAAGGCAAACGATCACGAAGTTCGCGGCATTATGTCATGGAAGACATGCAGAATTTCACGATGGTTTCTCCTCCCAGTGTCATGCTGTGGCTCAAGTATTCTGCTCTAATACTATACATGAAGAAATGCCGCAATGTGGCGAAGGAGGTTGATTATGTATATGGGCAGCATTTACAGTGCTAGGATTCCATATGGTTTACAGAGTGGGTTAGAAGTGAGCGCCGGAATGGAGGGTGGCCTTGGCGAGTGCCGGCAGCCTCTGAGGCGTCGAGAGTTGGGCACAATGGAAAATGATGGCCTGATCTGGCCAACGCTGCCGCTGATCATCACTTCCTTTTCTGGGAGGGGGGGGGGTCGTGGGACTTATTGACTGATCCAGAGATCAATCACCTCTTGGCTTTGGTAACGAACAGTGCAATAGTCTCACTCGCTTCTGGGGGTTTGGCAGGTGTCAGCTGTCTGATCGGATTTAATACGTAATATACTGGGTAATAGAAGGAACAAGGGCTTCGGGACAAGTTCGGGGCGTCAGGCGGGACGGGGCGGGCCGGGGGGCCACATCACCGCGGCCATCATCCGCAACAGGGCGCGCGACGACAGGCACGCCACCGGGCGACGTGATCAAGGCATCATACAGATCAGGTTCGGCACTGTGCCGAGCATGCCGTGTACTGCCTCATGATCAGGGCGCCTCCGCGCCTGGTGCCGCTGTCCCGACAGCCGTCGCCAACGTCCCCGATCAATAACGTACATAAATTGTTCAATAAATACCCATTAAAAAGAGAAAAAAAAAAGCGATCCTGGGGCACCCAACGCGCCCGGACGCGCCGGAAGCGCGCCTTCGCTGCGCATCATCACGCCGCCGCCCGCCCAGTGTGCCCCACAGTGCTCATAAATTCCCGAAAAATTCACCATTAAAAAGAGAAAAAAAAAGCGCACCCGATGCGAGGTTGACGACCGGGAGGTGCAGCGGGGGCGACATGCGCGTTGGGCGCTTTGGCAGCTGCTGAGATGAGAGCACAGCCACATCGGCCTGAACGCCGGCCTGATGATGAGGCATCGGGCGGCGCCATCGGCACGATGGCCGGCATGCGACAGGAATGCCGAGCTTAATGTGACACGGCAGGACTGATCTGACATGACAGAAGTGATGCGCCAGCGGGGAGCGCCGCCGGTGGCGTGGGCATGTCCGGGTGATGGCGGGAAGCGCGCGTCAAGCATACTGACGGAAAAGGATATATTTGATGTTTATTAGTAGTGTAATACATAAGTGGCGCCAATGGCGGCTCCAGTCAAGGAATATTGCTTCTCTGATGCTATCACAGTGAGACTATTGCACTCATCCCTCGGTCTGTCTCGGTAACCCAGACGTTCTGGTAGCTATCCCGCCCGGCCCGGACATGATCCGCGCCACGCGAGTAATTCGGGTAAAAATGATGGGCGGGATAGCTACCAGAACGTCTGGGGCATGTGGTAGTGTGATACCACCCATGGTGTCACAGTCCGCACCCTTCACCCATCCCATCGCCGGCAGCCTAGGAATTTTGCAGAATTATTCTTAAGCATATCATGATGGGCTTCCAATTTTTTCTCGAGTTTTTGGGTCCTTTCTGCGCTGGCTAATCGCGTCCAAAGCTGCGACATTTTTGGTAGGTGGTCGAGCACTGATCAAGCCTTGAATTGGTCCAGCAACTCCAGAAAAAATTGGGAAGGTCCAGGTACATAGCTAGATGATATTTCTATATATCTACATACATTCAGATATTTTTGGGCTACACGGAGCACCACAATGAGGAGAACGTGACAGCAGGAGTGTGACCCGATGGGGGGTATCACACTACCAAATGCCCCAGACGTTCTGGTGTGATCTGGGGCCATCATTTTTTCTGATTTTCTCGCGGGGCCTGGATCACACCGGAACGTCTGGGTTACCGAGACAGCCCTCGGTAACGAACTTGCTGAGCCGCACGTGAGAAGGATCGCGGATGCCGTAAGATTTCGGATAGGATCAAAACTTAAAAGGATGGACGCATTGGGAATTGAACCCAACACCTCTCGCATGTTCTGAAAATGCTAAGCGAGCGTGATAACCAACTACACCATGCGCCCGTATGATGATATGTTATGCCATTCACCGACCACCGGCTTCACATCCGTTTGCAATTCCCAGACTTCAACACTACCACAGAATATTTCTAGAGAGGTCAACATAAACACTTGGTATGATTGACCTGCTTTTTATCAAAACAAAAAAATTTATTGTTCCAGACAACATTACGACAACCAGATCAGTCCATGAACGACCACAAGACAACGAGTTGCTCGGTCTATCTACGTATGGCCAGCGCCGGCCATGAATTGCATCTCTTCCGCTCAGTGCGGCATCCAATCTCTTCTAAAGGAGCTGCACTTCACCTTCTTGAATGTGCAGGGGGCGTAATTTTCGGGGGTAGTTATGAGGCGGAGAAACGTGCAATTGCACACCGCTGCATCGACATGAATTGCGTTGGTGACTTTTCTCCTCTTCGGCATCAAAGCGAGCGGAGACGACGTACCCACGGCCAAAGTAAACAAACGATCGTACTGAAGCTTTCATACCAGCTTTCTGATTCAATGCGGGTATCATTCCGAGAGCTAAGTTCCGTCAATATCGCGGCAGCGAAATCGTCGCCCTCGGTAGCGGTGGTGAACTTGTATTGGGACCAACACGAGCCGGATTAGCGCCGAAGTCCATCCGTCACCGAAAGAAAATAAATTCCGAGCGGGGGCCTTCAAGGAGAGAGTCAGAGGTGTAGAGGAAGAGTAGGGAAGGTCGTGCAGAACTGAACGGAGGCGCGATTAAGATTGATTCATAAGTCCGGGCTGCGTTAACTGATATCTCTCGGTCCCTTCGCAACGCAAGTCGTCAATGGGAATGAATTAACCGGACGCAATATGTACACCGTTGGATTGTAGGGTCTATTTGTTATTCTGGGACGCGGAACTGACAGCGCCACCACCCTGTCGATAAGCCGTTAGGAGGGCTGCGGCGGCGGGCTATGGATGTCGAATGAGCGGCAAATAAAGGTCGGGAGCAAGATGCAAAAGGATCTGGCGGGCTTGCGTCTCACATAAGATCATCGTCGGAGGAGCGGTCCGGGTCCATTTCCCCGGCCTTTCGAATACTGAGCATCAGGGTTAACGGAGGCGTCGAATGAACAGGATGATGGCATACGCGGGAACAACAGGGACCCCAACAGCCTCACCAGAACTCGCTGGGCGTGTTTGGTGGTCCGCCACTTTCTGCATTTGCTTAACAGCGCTGGTGAGATCGACCGCAATCGCTTTACGCTCCGCGCGTAGCTTCTTTTCACCCGCGAGCAAGTCTGCGCTGCGCTTCTCGAATGCCTTGCGCTCAGTCTCGAGCAGTTCCTGGATTCTGATGGCAGCCGCGAGGTCCCCGCGTCAACGCTCGTTCTCAGTGGTCTTTTCGGCAACTTGAATGCGCAGGGCCGCGGCCTCGCGCGCGCTCGCCTCCGCCAACGCTCGGGCTTTCTTTGCTTCGGTTTCTGCCACGCTAGATTTTTCGTCGACATGGGCTCGTAACACTGCGAATGCGTCGGAGGGTGGCTTCGGGGGCATATTGAATGACTTCCAAGACGCTTTGTGCTAGGTGAACGCATGGTGCGAAGGTGCGAGAAATCGATTATCGGATGAGATGATCGCATCAGTAGCATCAGCGGACTCGGATCAATTTCCCTTGACTCATCATTAATCATTACTTACGACTTTGCTGGCTGGCACACTCTTCCGTCCAAGCTTCAATCATGCTTTCCAGCAAAAAAACTGCGGGGCAATCATTATTCTCCAAAATTTTGACTCCTGCTGGCTTTTGCATCGTCGTGGCGCTTCTGTGGCTATTCCAAGGCTACGTATTCACTGCATGCACATCCTAATCTCTGCCCTTCTTCTCTGCCTCCACCGCGAAGGACACCTGGGAATATTCGCTCGGGCATCTCCCACATATCCACATTCAATTCAGAACAGATGTAAGGCACCGCGGCAACATATGGATGTTGGATTTACGATATCTCGTCCTGTCTCGGTGATCTACCAGAGTGGGTGGTTCATAGCCTCTCGTACCCGACACGCAAGGGGAAACCATACATGCCCACCCACATCCCGAGTCTCCCAATGCAGACCATCCAATTTACGCGCATCACATTCCTGGCAGATCATCAAGATCGCAACTCTGGGAAATCTTTCTGTGCAGTATGATTCCTCCCCAGCGCCACGGTCCCTTAGCGACTGTCGTTTGTATGCAGGGCTGTGTGCTGTGTACATGGGCCCTTGGAACTCGATATTATTGCTGTCCGGGCGACCAAGATCGGTGTATCCTATCGCACTCAATACCACAGTCAGTACTCGTCCAAACAGAACGCGTGATCCGCTCAATACACCTTTATAGATAACTTCCGCATCTACTACTGGCACTTTCCGCGGCGTATATTTTCTTCTCGTACCGTATCATGATGCGGTTCCGAAAGGTATCAGAATCCCGTCAGAAGTATATGTAGGTGGAACTACGACCAGTGCCCACTCATATCTCTACAGCATCTTACCTGCCGCCCTTCTCCTTCCGCCCCTTTTGCCCTTCCTTTCCTCCCTGCACCGTACTGCGAACCATTCCCGCGTCCCATGAGGCTCGATGCCCTCCTTCCCCGCCAAAGTGACAACTGCATCGAGTGTCCGGACACCCCGTCCTGCAGCTGCGACGCAAGCCAGCAGTGCGTCGTGATCCAGAGGTATACCGCTCTTGCCTCTCGCTCCCACCTCCGCTCAATTCCTGACAAGGGAGTGCAATACCTGCGCGAGCGTCGAATGCGCCTCGAGCGCACTTACATCAAATACTCCCGCCGGGTAACGATCTATAAACTTCTCACCGATGGCTACACAGCTGAAAGTGATCCACAGACCCATCTTACCCACCCCCGCTATCGTCGGAATCGGCGTTGGGATCGGGCTGATGATATGCTTGTTGGTGTTCCTCGGGATCACAGTTCGTCGGCGACGGCGCGACGATGAGAGTATCCGGTCGTTCAAAGCTCTACGAATGTGAAGTGATCAGTTGGTGCGTGTTTTTCCTCACCCTCCTCGTCCAATCTATTGAAATCCCCAGTAGAAGGCCTGGGGCTCATGTGGACTTTACTTTGAGCCGGGCCAATTCGGGCTTGTATAGTAGTGTAATTTCTTTCTTTCCAATGGGCAGTACGAATCTGGTCTTATCCGGAGGGATATTATTCTTCCCCATCGCGGCGTCCCCGGACATAACTCGAGATTTGCTCTTGTGATAGGTAACTTCAAAGTTGACAAGACTAACATGCACGGAGAATAGAATACGAGGTGTTTGAAACGAGGAGTTCAGTGACAGTTTCATGGCGATCCTCGAACTACAATCGGCACCAGTCTTGCACCAGTCGGAGGAAGTCTGAACTTAGGCTCGAATCCAGCCTGTCAATTAAAACAAGCTTATCGATAGCAATTCACAGACAGACGGCCACCGGTCTAGTCGGAACTTGGTTCGGAGGTGATGCGCCAAATGATATCGCCGCTCTCTCTCCCTGTCTTTCACCAACATTTCTGAATGTCTTCCGGTGGATTAACATGGGCCTCGGTCCTTGCAGGTGACTGAGCTAACAGACCTTAAGATTATCGCCGACAATGATATCCCGCACGCCACGCTGATAATATGCCAGTGACATATGCACGTCATCGAGAGCAGCGCGCTTCAACTCTTCGGGACCCCGGGAGTCGCTCAGGACCATCGGCGCCACGTGAAACATGCGGGCCTTCCGCTGGGTTCAGGTCAGACTTCTCTGGGACCCCCTCAATGCAACAACAATGTCGCCCGATGGAGGTCATATTTCCCCCAAGGAGGAAAGGAGAAGGGTCTGCTGGTCATCGAAACCTCGGAGGTATGTCCCCCCCGCCCGGCTCTTCCCGGCCTTCGAAAGCTTAGGCGAAGTTTGCCCAGGCGGAGAAGCAGGACTGGCCCTAGTTTGTATTTATCGTTTACTCCATGCATGATCTTTGATTATGTTGCACGACTAAAAGCCATTATATGAGCCGGGAGGGGATATGTCGCCGCATTTATAGTCGTACATGTATCCTGCGATCTCCTCGGTAGCGCAGAGCTGGACATCCGTTGCAAGGTTGGCGGGTGTTCGATAGCTCTCTGCCTTCGGTTGACGTTTACCGATCAGTCGGTGTTTGAGATGAGCTATCAGACGTTAATTTTCGAGGTCAGGCACACAGGATAATTTTTAGTACTAGCAGAAAGTTTCAGACAGGATTTATCGAAGGAGACGCGTGCTCAAACAACAATAGTGCCATATAATCAGTGGTCGCGGAACTGGTCCACATCGAAGTCTTGCTCGAAGGTGGCCAAGCAGTGTTTCGCTTTGGCGCTCGCATCCGCCCACTGCGTACCGCCCTCGGGGTTCTCGACTGTGCTTAGCGGTTGGACGTCGAACCTGTCCCCAACGCCTCCTTCGACCTCGGTCGACATGGCGCCGCCGATTTCCACCCAAATCAGCTCCCCGAGCCCCACGCCACCCGAAACGTCCGGGCCGCGCCTGTACTTCGCCTCGACCAACAAGTCCGAGCGCGCGTACCACTTTTTCGTCAAATTGCGCGCAGCCCAGACGTGGTCGACGGGGAAAAGCTTATCTGCCTCGCCCTTGTGCTCATAGCCGGGGAGGCTGACATGCTTGAAATTCTCCAGCGCAAACGCGAGCACTTCATCGGTGGGGGCGGCGGTGGCGTATTCAGCGATGACTTCCGCGGGGAGGTAGTCTGCGGCGGTCCCGAAATATTCGTCCACAATCAGGACTCGATCGCCCGCCTAGTGGCCGACAGGGACACTGATCGGGGGCGCAGTATCGCGGCCACGAAACGCACGCGCATCCCGGTGTGCCTGTGCAGCGGGAGGCGTGGGCGCGCTTTGAGCATCGGCTGGGACGGCAAAGAGCCACACGATGTCGAGAGGCATGCCATTCATGATAGCTTCTGATACCTGGGTCAAGTTAGCATGAGTCGGATGCGCGGTGTGCGTCGCACTCGCATCTTCC